TAAGATACGATAGTCTCAACCAATGATAATATTGCCCTAATTAAGTTATGATAGTCTCAGATGCACTGATAATTTTATTCACTTTTGCTCAAGTTCTTAGAATTATTAACGTAATCTTCTCCCATTGGCGCTTTTGTTATTAGATCCATTATATTAATATTATTAAGATTAAGATTAAAATTAGCTTGCTAATTCGCCAGCTTTTCCTGAACGATGGTTAAAGTTAATTCAAGCCAATTATTAATAACACATAATATTTGGTGTTAAAATAGATAAATAGTTTGTGTCATTAAACTTTACCCTAATTTTGATTTATAAAAGACTCGTATAAAATTGATAATAATTACACTTCACCAGCTTAACCTAGTTCACACCATACAATTACAGTTTGGTAAAATAAATAGCGTATTAATCGCTACTATGTCTGTCATATTCTAGCCTGCCTGATTAGACATGGTATTGTACGAAAGGCCTCGTTGGTATTGGATAAGGCAAATATGGTGTAGTTTACATATTGTTATGCAGCTTTCTTCACCTTCACTCTTAGAATTGGTTTTAAAAGTACCACCGCAATAGATTGAGGAATGTCAGGAAATGTATCGTAGAACTGAATCTGAATGACTGAAGAAAGAGACCAAGTACAATATAAAAACGGGGTGAAATGTAAACTTATTAATGAGTGAACTGGACGATAGATAGCACTTCTACGAGAGACCGATACTTACTTGACTGAATTTCTAACCAACTTCTTAACTTCAAAGTATATAGGCCTGGCATGGCCAGATGGTTAGACCGTTTGACTCGCAATCTGAGGATCGCGAGTTCGACTCCCCATCCAACCAAACATGCTCGCCCTTTTAGCCTTGGGGGCGTTATAATGTAACGATCAATCCCGCTATTCGTTGGTAAAAGAGTAGCCTAAGAGTGGCGGTGGGTGGTGATGACTAGCTACCTTCCCTCTAGTCTTTCACTGCTAAATTAGGGAGCAAAGATAGCCCTCGTATAGCTTTGCGCGAAATTCACATCAAACCAAACCAAACTAGAGCATAGCATAATATGCAAGATTATATAATACCATCCCTCTCAGTACCCATGCGCTAACACGTCACAGATGGTAATTTTAATAGAAAAATACGGGAGTAAAAACCTCAAGGTATCGCCTGACTCACCATTGTTTGTTTGTTTGTAATTAAGCACAAAACTACACAATGGGCTATCTGTGCTCTGCCCACCACGGGTATCGAAACCCGGATTCTAGAGTTGTAAGTCCGCAGACATACCGCTGTGCCACTGGGGGGCTATTCACCATTGAAAAATATCACTGTCCACCTTTACATAAATTTTATTTGACATGCTACAGAAAATTGTTTAATAAGTGGTTAGAGTGAAAGAAAATTAGTCACCTTCGTTGTTCAGCGTTCTAATAATAAAATAAATAATAAAATAAAACAGAATTTCACCCCTGTTTAACACCATAGTGGAAAGACATGTAACAATAAGTAGTCAGAGTGAAAGAAAATTAGTCACATTCGTTGTTCAGCGTTCTAATAATAAAGCTCCATACACAGCTTGGCAAGTGTATACAGGAATTTTTATAAAATTGGAAGTGAGCATTTTATTTTTACCTGACTAACCAAATAAAACCAAAAGTAAGAAATAGGCATTTGTATATCATGAAGTTAACAAATCCATTATTAAGGGTAAGAGAGAGAATTTTTAAACACAAAAGCAAATTAATTAAACAAAAGAGGATTTATACGTTTGTAAAAAATAGCAAAAACAAATAATAAGCAAAACTGAATTACAATTTATACTAAACATTAGAGAGTTTCTGAAAAGAAGAAAATATTATATGAGCGATGTGCTGTGTGTGTGTAGTGTTTTAAAGCAAGAACAAATTTCCCGAGAAGTATCAGATAAACGACCTATTAATAACGGGACATTCGCTCATGAAATATCGAGTGTAATTCTGAATCTGATAACTCTGTTATCATAGTATGTGATATATATATATACGAGACTGGAATAAGTACGCGGGAGGTGGTGGTGTTAGGGGTTAGGCCACACACCCACGTGCCAGTGAAGTTCAGTATTGTTACGACAGCGGAGGTCACATGACGCTAGTAACACGTCATATTCTCGAAGCTTCGTGAAGCCTCGGGAGGTTACTAGATGTACGGTATTCTTTTATATAAGACGGCCAAGAAGTGACGGCAACAAGGGGTAATTGACAGTTGAGTCGAGCACGTGAGACGTTCGTTGTG